GGGGAGGGGAGGGGAGGAGAGAGAATTTCTGCCATTGGTAGATAGGAAGATATTAAAGCATCGTTTGCTTTACCCTGTCATGTCTGGCCTCCACCCCACACTGTCTCAGTGTTGTGCGTGTGTTTGTGTGTGTGTGTACGCACATGTGTGCACACAGACCTAGAGCTGCAGGAGGCCAGGGTGTCTTACATGGCTCACACAGTCTTTAGGATTCAGTTCTGCCTTCTTGATGCCTTTGTTCGGTGACTCAGCAAAACAAGACTCTGTACTTCCATGATCATCTCAGCATGGAAGAGTTTTCTTTCCATCTAAGGAAGCAGAAATCCTCTCAATAGCCTGGGTGGGGAGACAAATAAATATAGAAATTTTGTGCTAAAGATTATGGAAGAAAAAAAGATAAAACAGGAACAACAATGAATTTTAAGTCTTGGTGTGTGAAATATATTAAGAATTTTATGTAAGTTCCCCCTCTTTCTTCTACTTTTTTTGGGGGGGTTCGGGAGGTGTCTCTCTATGTAACCTTTAGTCACCATGTAGAGCAGGAAGGCATCAAATTCAAATGAGCCTCCTGTCACTGCTTCCCAGTGCTGGATTGAAATAAGTGAGCCACCACCCCAGGCTCCTCTCCTCTCCTCTCCTCTCTCTCTGTCTGTGTGTGTGTGTGTCTGTCTGTCTGTCTGTCTGTCTGTCTCTCCTCCCAGGGAAGGCACTTCAAATTCCTAATGAAGTACATCGGTATCAAGTTCCTCAGCAGCAGCAGACAAGACTGTTGTGTCTCCTGCTCTCCCATGTGAGCACCACCGGACAGTCAATCCACTCTGACTGCCCGCTGCTGCTTTCAGGAGCTCATGAACTCAGGGAGACCTTGACAAAGAACACGCTTGAAGAATCTGCTTCAGTGGGTCTTCAGGCTTATGATCAAAGCTCCCAGTGATGCTGAGACTCTAGTCTGAGGACCACCCCTGAGGAGGAGGTTGCAAAGTCATCCCCCCACCCCACATTCTATTCTGCCCTGCCTCTCTTGCTGTTGTAGCCTTGTACCCCTGATGCATGCAGGCCCAGGAGAGTAAAGGAAACTAGGTTTTGCTTTGCCTTTGCAGGCAGTGTGGCTTCCTGACCAGTTTGAGGTGAAGCAGACTGGCAGTGTCCCCTGAATTGTGTCCCCTTTGTTAAGTATCAAGCTGTATCAAGCTGTTAAGTATTCCAGGAATAGTTAAGCTATTCCTGGAAAGAGAACCCTGCTCTCTGTAACTAAGGGTCAGGGGTCTTCAGAATCCTAGACAGGGAAGGATTATTGAAACTTCCTGAGTTCACTCTAAGGCCTCATGGGAGGGGTCTGAGTGGATAGGGAGGGCACTGCTCACCACTCTTCGACCCGACCCCTAGCTCTGTCTGAGGAGGGTTTCACAGAGTACATTTGTGCTGAGGTCAGGCCAGTGTCCCTTCCTGAGGCCCTTTCCACACTCACTTGGCCCTCTCCCCCAGCTCCTGCTTCCTTCCTCCAGTACTGTCGGAAGCCCCATTCGTTCCCTCATTCTGCCTTATAGAAATGATACCTAAGGGAAGTATAGATACTTAAAAGTAAAAGATACTTAAAGACTCATTTTCAACTAAAGACAGGAAGGAGCCCTATGTATGAAATCAGTCCCCTACCATGGTGACAAAGCAGGACTCCTTACAGGCGGGTACCTCCAGCGAAGTCTTAGCAAGCATGAGTGCTGGCTCCCTATTTATACAGGTGAGAATGACCACTCGTGGATGTTCTTGGAATGATTCTGTTCCAAGAATGTATTGGGTGTTTACTGAGGGCTGAGCCGGAACTTACAATTTCTCTTGCTTCAAGAGTCTCTCGCCTATGAAGCTTCTGAACTAATTATGTGTTTATCACTGGGGTTTTCTAGGCAGTGGGGCCTCCTAACCAGTTTGGGGTATGTTCCTCACCTTTGACAAGCTGTTGCCCTTGGTGTGAGAGAGTAGACAGAGAAAGAATTTTCCCTTTGATTCTTCATCCTGCACTGGCAGACTGCTGGGCACCCCTCATGTTCTTTCCTGGTTCATGGACAAAGAAATGAGGGATCAGGAATGTGACTCACAGCAGCCAAGCACTGAGGCATAAGGTTAGCTCCATGGGTCAGCCTGGCTGACTAGGGAGCTGGGGCCCAGGAGGCACTGGCCTGAGGGCCCAGTATGGGAAAGCACACGTGCAAAGAACCATCTTCCACGGTGTGGATGAGTCGTGCCCACCAGCCTTTTGACAAACCGCACGCTCAAATCTCTCAAACTATTTCATTCTCCTGAGTGTTTGGTCTTTTCTCTGTTTCCTCAAGAAGGCCTTCATGTCTCTGTTCATTAGTGATTTCCTGTATAGAAAACACCATAGCGTTCCCTTGAAGGATGAAAAGTAACTTATGATTCAGCAATCTCACTCAGAAACCGTCTGCACTCCCGAAGGTTTACTGCAGCGCTGTTCACATGCCACGTGCTGGAGCACCCCTGCGTCTATAGCTGATGCACACACAAGGAAATACGGAGCTAGAAAAGGGTGAACTTTGGGGGGTTGGATGTAGCTCACTTAGTAGAGTACTTGTCTAGCACTTATGAAGCCCTGAGTTTCATCTCCAGCACCACCTGAAGCCAGACTCCATATAAAGGCCAAGCTTTGTCAGTTCAGTGCTTGGCTGACCTTGAGAACCTCATATCAAAAGGCTGTGCATGACGGGACAGGCTGGTAATGCCAGCACTAGTGATGCTGAAACAGGTGGATTCTCAGGCCTGTGGGCCTATGGGCCTATGGGCCAGCAAGTCAAGTCTTGGTGAGCCCCAGACCAGTGACAGGCCCTGACTCCAAAAACAGCGTGGGTGACATCTGAGGAACAAGTGAGGTTGCGATCTGTCCTCTACATATATAGCAGTTTCCTCCAAACTGAAACATTCCCTTAAGGAAGGAGATGGGAGGTTCAGGAGAATCAGGAAGTATTTGAACTTGAACAATCCAGGAAGCTGAAACCTTGACAAGACTCACTAGCCTGCCCCACCCCCAAGGTTATAAAAGCCATTAACAACTGTTGGCGGAGCCTCTGACCTGTCACCTGTTGATCAGTCTGTAAGTCCTGTAAGAGTTCCAGGGCTGCAGCTGGAGTCGCATCCCTGCTTGGATGGGCTTTCTGATAGCACAGCTGCCGTTGAGACATCCCTGCTTCTGTAACTAATCCCCCACCCATTCTCACATAACCAGCCCACTAAACTCTTGACTTTGCCACGGTCTCCTTTGGTGATATTGTTAATTTGGTCTGTCCTTGACTCCTTATGTGGGGTGAATAGATATGTGTTCATATATTCCCAGGAATAGTGTCACATAATATCTCCACATGCACGAGTGTGCACGCTTACACACACATACACACTGGGCATGATGATAACACTTGTAATCCCAGCACTGAAGAAGATAGGAAGATGAATCATTTCAACAACTTAAACATGTTAAAACTTCACATGGTTCCCTGTTAGTATGTATAATTTTATGATGTTATACATCAGGCAAAAATCTAATTTAAAGCCGGGCAGTGGTGGCACACGTCTTTAATCCCAGCACTTGGGAGGCAGAGGCTGGTGGATTTCTGAGTTCGAGGCCAGCCTGGTCTACAGAGTGAGTTCCAGGACAGCCAGGGCTACACAGAGAAACCCTGTCTTGAAAAAACAAAACAAAACAAAATCTAATTTAAATGTTGTAAAGTAAATGTTAAATGAAGATCTTTTTTTTTTAAAGAGTTTGTTAATTTTTTTTTTTTTTTTTGGTTTTTCAAGACAGGGTTTCTCTGAGTAGCCCTGGCTGTCCTGGAACTCACTCTGTAGACCAGGCTAGCCTTGAACTCTCGAACTCAGAAATCCACCTGCCTCTGCCTCCCAAGTGCTGGGATTAAAGGCATGCACCACCACCGCCCGTTAAATGAAGATCTTATGGGGGAAAAATAATCCTCAGTCTGAAAATACCAACCTTATTCCTCCCATGTTACTCAGTGTGAACCATGCCCTTAGTTAGGGCTGGCATAGCATGGGCCGTAGACTGGAGATGCTCAAACGATAGCTGAAATGAATTGTTCACAGACTGAGAGTCTGGATGTCCGAGATCAGTGTGCCATTGTGGTCGGGTTCTTGTGAGGGCCGTCTCCCAGGTGGCATGGGGCAGTGACTTTGGTGATACCCTCACACAGCAGAGTATATGGCTCACATGGCTCCAGCCCATGACCACACTTCCTCCGGGAATTTCCTCTTTTAATAGTCTTACATGAGGAGTTGTTTCCATGAGGAGTGATTTGGGAGTAACAAGAATGTAGCATTGGTGCAGGCCGAGTGCACGGAGAGGCTGAGGCTGACAAGGGCTCTCATCCAAATCCTTCCTTGAATAACTGTGTGAACTTGGGGAAATATCTTAACATCTCTGGCTCTTTGTCTACTTGTTTATGAAACAGAGACATTGATTCCCCACCTCAGAGGATTGACATGAAAGACCATCCCTTTGAAGGTGATATTGAAACCCTCTTCTCTCTTCTCTACCCCTCTCTTCTCCACTTGTCAGCCCTGAACTGGACTATTTCAGGCTTTAGAAAGTTAGAGTTATTACTTAATCTGGCAATATATTCTTTTATAATGTTGAGATTAGATGTTTTAATATCTGATTTGATATGCATGTATATTATAAAATTACCAAGATATCAAGATAAAATCAGTTTCCGTTCACAATGTGACTGGGCAAGAGGGTGCGGTTCCCTCTGTCTTGTATCCGTGCTGAGGCCATTTCAGGTTTAACTAGAATCTGATCTCCTTGATGGAGAATTCCATGGAAAGTTACCCAACTCTATTCTAGGAACCCATGATCAGGATGTCCTAGCTAGTTTATCTTAGCCTTTGTTAAAACTGCTTGTTTGTTTCTTAGCTGCCTGTTTGTGCAGAACCCCCCCTGAGGCTGGCTAACTGCTTAGCTTACTTAGGGTTTTTACTGCTGTCATGAAACACCATGACCAAAAAGCAAGTTGGGGAGGAGAGGGATTATTCAGTTTACACTTACAGAACAGTGTTCATCATTGAAGGAAGCCAGGACAAGAAATCAAACAGGGCAGGGATCTGGAATCAGAAGCTAATGCAGAGGCCATGGAGGGGTGCTGCTTACTGGATTGCTTCCCATGGCTTGCGCAACCTTATTTCTTATAGACTCAGGATCACCAGCCCAGGGTTGGCCCCACTGACAATGGGCTAGTCCTTCCTGCATTGATCACTAATTAAGATAATGCCCTACAGCTGGATCTCCTGGAGGCATTCCTCAACTGAGGCTCCTCCCTCTCCCATGACTCTAGCATGTGTCACATTGACACAAACCAGCCAGTATACTGCTTATCTGAGCTTCTGTTAAAACTGCTCACTTCAAACTGCTTACGCTTCAAAGTCCCCTCTGTAGCTGCTGAGCCAGGTGCCTCAACAAGATTTCTGCCCTTAAACCCCATTATCTGGACACTTGGGGCCACACCTAGGTTCCCAAACACTTGGGTGTGGTCCCAGCTGGCTGGAATAAAGACTTTCAATTGTCCAAACACTGTCTGAGTGGTCATCTCTGTTGAGCTCCCTTTAACCACAAGAAAGTAAGCAAAATTCTTATGATGACCCAAACTGACTCAAAAAGTAGAAAATGTAGCCGGGCGGTGTTGGCGCACGCCTTTAATCCCAGCACTTGGGAGGCAGAGGCAGGCAGATTTCTGAGTTCCAGAGTTCAAGGCTAGCCTGGTCTACAGAGTGAGTTCCAGGACAGCCAGGGCTACACAGAGAAACTCTGTCTCAAAAAACCAAACCAAAAAAAAAAAAAAGTAGAAAATTTAAGTAGGCCTGTAGAAAGAAAGGCTCTCTCTCGGAACTGGAGCTCATTGACTGGCTACACTGGCTGCCATCTAGTCCCTAGGACTTTCCTGGGTCCACCTTCCCAGTGGATGACAGTGGTTCCAATGCTGGGATAATGGTGGACACTGCTATGTGAGCTATTTATATGGGTATTGGGGACCCAGGCTCAGGTTCTCATGCCTACTCAGGAAGCATTTCACCCATCTACCTTTCTACATACTAGCAATGAACAATCTGAGAATAACATTAATGAAGCAAACCTGTTCACAATAATATCAAAAAAGAATAAAAATGCTAAGGAGTGCATTTAACAAAAGAAGTGTAAGAATGTTTACAAGAAAGCTAGAATTAAAACCATCTAAATTAAGGGCAACACATTACCATCCATAAACCTAAACTGATGTGCATATTAAAATCCAACTGCCCCCTTTCCACCTTCCTCCTCATCTTGTCTTCCCCATTTCCAGCATTCACTCTCCTATTATCCAGCCAACATGTTTTTAGTTTCCCTATTATAAAACCCCATTAGCTGTCTGTCTGTATTACATATACAGAGAGAAAACTGTAGCTGGAGTCTTGCTGTGTTTCTCTCACTTGATTTAATATGGGATGGTCAGTTCCATCCATTTGGCAGCAAATAGCAGGACTGGTTTCCTTTACAGCTGAACACTGTACTTATGCTTTTAAAAAGCTAGGCGCTCAGTTGGACACACTCCTACGGCACAGTTGAACGCAGCCCACAAAGTCAAAGGTATTGACTGTCTGATCCTCTGCAGAAAGTCTGCTCCCTTCTGATCTGAACTGATCCCACTGAGGAGGTTAAAAGGAGAAAGCGCCTGGAAGTTTGGTCACTGTGTCTTGGGCTACCTTTGTTTGCCAGCTGACACCCATCTCTGTGAGAGTTCTGACCCTTACACAGCCTGGACATGTGGCCTTCTTCCTGATGATCGCAGCTTGAAAGGAAGAGAGACATCCCCAGGTTGTAGGTTTATTGAGCACTTTCGGCTTCAAAATTTCTAATTAAATGTTCTGAGACAAAGATAGGTCAGGGGCCTATGGTCAAGTTTAGCTTGGAACAAATAGTTCTCTAGGTGGCAGCCACCAACCGACACCTACAGATTCTCATAGCCCAGAACAAAGGATTGGATCAGGTGCCATGGTATTGGTAGAAATGGAGATAGTTTATTAAGGAGGAGGAAAGCATTCCTGAGTATGCAAGTGGCTAGAACTGGAAAAGGTCCGTCAAGACATTTGCTTGATGATCTTTGCTACTAAGCCTGTCCATTTTTACTGAGTGTGTCTCCCTCTTTTTTTCTCTGGTTCTACCGCATTTCCAGACACTAAATGCATTCTTACTTTTCTTGCTGAGATAAAATTCACAACCAAAACAACATAAGGAAGGAGGAGTTTATGTCGTCTCACAGTTCAAGGGCACAGTCCATCTTGGTGCTGAAGACACAGTGATAGGAACATTGGTCATCTTCAGGAAGAAGAAATTCATGAATGTGGATGCTCGGATCACTTCTCTCCTCTTTCATGAGGTCCAGGATTTCAACCCATGCAATGGTGCGGCCCACATTTGGGGTGTGTCTTCTCATCTAACCTAATCTAGAAACTCCATCATAGATATATATGCCCAGAAGTTTGTTTCCAATGGTGATTCTAAATCCCATCAAGACTAACCATCACTTAGGCCTAAATCCTAAGCCTGTTTGTTCTGGCTCTCTGAAGGGTACTATCAGTCCACATAGCTGTTCACAGACACTTATCTCTAACTTAAACAGACACCTCTCTCCTCCTGGCAGGTGCACAAATTCACAGCTTGCTGCTCCATTGTTTCCTCCAAGATTCTGAGGATGCTCAAGTTTCCTTCTGATTCTGTTTTGAAAGTCTCTGATCTTGAAGACAGAGAGCCTGCAAAAGGAAACCCAATATTATTAGAAACCATACATGCGGGGCTGGAGAGATGGCTCAGCGGTTAAGAGCACTGACTGCTCTTCCAGAGATCCTGAGTTCAAATCCCAGCAACCACATGGTGGCTCACAACCGTCCGTAATGAGATTGGATGCCCTCTTCTGGTGTGTCCGAAGACAGTGACAGTGTACTCATAAATAAAATAAATTATTAAAAAAAAAAAAGAAACCATACATGCTACTAAGTACTGGCATTAACTATATGACCTGTCTTCAATAATTCTTAGCTTTGTGAGGAACATATTTCATCTGTTTTTGTTTGCTTGCTTTTGAGACAATGTCTTACTATAGCCCTGGTTGGTCTGGAATTCTGTATGTATGTTAGGCTGGTG